GATACGAGGGAAAAAAATCAAAATAAAAGTTTCATGTCAGCAGAGTAGAAATGCTTGCCTGCAATCCCAGGCAGAAGGATCACAAGTTCCAGGCCATCCTCAACAATTTAGCAAGGCTCCATCTCAAAGATGGGGGTGGGTGTTGCCCAGGGATATAACTTACTGGTAAAGTGCCTAGGGTTCAATCTCTAGTACCATCACCTGGTCCCCCAAAAAAGCTAGATGAAGTTATAGTAAAATTTCATCTAGGTAATTAAAACAAAATGAAAACTGTTAGAAGAAATTTTACCAAAATAAAAATGACAATACTGATAACTTTTCTTTTTCCTTCCATCTGCTCCAGTTTTCCAAATTTCTAATAAACATGGATTTTTAATTAACTATCCTCCACAGGAGAAAATTAGAAAATACACTTAAACACTAAGGAAACAAATTATCCACAATTCCATCATTCAGAAATAACTAATTACTGTTAATATTTTTGTGTGGCCCTTTCTCTTTGCATTCATGAAGGTGGAGAAGGAAGAAAAGGACAAGTAATGGCATGGTTGTTTAAGAGTGTGAAGGACATTACAGAATGCTACTAAGGCAAGTGTGCAGGATTGAGGGAGACTAACTTGAAGAAGAGACAATTGGACTGTTTTCTGAAAGGGATGGAACCAACCAGACAGGGCAGTGCAGGTCAAGGTAACAGTGTAGGCAGAGGGAACAGGAGTGTGAGCTGGGTACCAGGCCTAGAGAAATAAGAAGTCAGAGGAGTCCAATGGGAAGAAGGCCATTGGCTAATCAAAATCTCATAAGTAGATCTGAGAATTATGACTGGTTCCTCAGTGAAAGAGGACTTGAAGGAAGAACATAATCCTTAAAAGGATCATACTGACTGCTTGAGAGAGGAAGGGATTAGGCCTAGCAAGGATGGATTTAGAAAGGCACATCTTTTTTAAATCCTTTTTTTTTTAAGAGAGAGAGAGAGAGAATTTTTTTTTTAATATTTATTTTTTAGTTATAGGCGGACACAACATCTCCGTTTTGTATGTGGTGCTGAGGATCGAACCCGGGCCGCACGCATGCCAGGTGAGCGCGCTACCGCTTGAGCCACATCCCCAGCCCAGAAAGGGACATCTTTAATGGGCAGGGAGAACAGGGTGTAAGGAATCCTTGGGAATTAAGAGTTGGAAAAAAAAAAAAAAAAGCTAATATTTCAAATTTGTATCATATGCTCCAAATAACTTTCTTTCTAGACCAGTAGGAATAAAAAGACACACTGCATGTGCAAGGCCCTGGGTTCAATCCCCAGCAGTGAGGGGGAAAAAAAAAAAAAGCTACATGTCATACCTCCCAAGAATTTCATATCAGAAATAGGATAACAGGAGAAGCACTAAATATTAACATTTAAATAAAAAGGAAGAGAAAAAATTAAAATAAGAGGAACAACAAATTTTTAAAGCTTGAGAGACCTGCATTACACAGAGCTTAATTGCTGTATGGAATGTACCTGTTTTATCATTATATCACTAATAAATACATAACAAATAAATGAATATAAGGGACTAGCCATGAGCAGTATGAAAACTATGCTATAGAAAGGAATGGTCTTAATAATATTCATAGAAGGAATAGCACAAACTACAGGACAAAACCTCTAGAGAGTTCTAGGCCTATAAATAGAGAAGTACACTTGGTAGTGGAGCAAGGAAGTCAATGGGCCCCTCTAATGTCTCCAAAGAATATCCCTTAAGACTAACTATTGTTCCTTGTTCATCTGTTCATTCAAAAGATGATTAATGCAGTAATCCCACCACTGTGTATAAGAGTGAATAAAACATAAGTCCACACAAAACACTAGTTCACAGGGCTGGGGTTGTGGCTCTCAATGGTAAAGTGCTTGCCTAGCATGTGTGAGGCACTGGGTTCGTTTCTCAGCACCACATATAAATAAGTAAATAAAATAAGGGTCCATCAACAACTAATAAAAATATTTTTTTAAAAAACTAGTTCGGGGATGCTGAGGTTGTGGCTCAGCTGTAGAGCACTCTCCTAGCGCGTGGGAGGACCTGGTTTCCAACCTCCGCACCACATAAAAATAAATAAAACAAACATACTGTGTCCACCTACAACTAAAAAATAAATAAATTTTAAAAAAAAAAACTAGTTCACAAATGTTCATAGCAGCAACATTATTCATAAAAGAACAAAAGTAAAAACAATCCGAAAGTCCATCACCTGAAAGTCCATCAACTGATGAATGAAATGTCATATTTCCATACAATGGAATATTATTGCGCCATTAAAACGAATACTGTGCTGATTCAGGCTGCAGCAAGGATGAACCTTGAAAATATGCAAATTAAGCCAGTCACAAAACATCAACTAGGGTACAGTTCATTTATATGAAATGTCCAGAACAAACAAATCTATTAAGACAGAAAGCCGATTCCAAAGCTGGAGGGGGAGGAAGTTGGAGGAAAATGGGCAATGGCTGTAATGAAAACAAGGTTTATTTTGGAAGGTGACATGAGTATTCTACAGAGAAGGGCGTAGTCCCACACACCTATAATCCCTGCAGCTCAGGAAACTGAGGCAGGAAGATCTCAAAGTTGAAAGCCATGCTGGAGCGCAGTGATGCATGCCTGTCATCCCAGTGGCTAGGGAGACTGAGGCAGAAAGAGGATCAAGTTCAAAGCCTGCCTGAGGCGCTAAGCAACTCAATGAGACCTTGTCTCTAAATAAAACAAAAAATAGGACTGGGGATGTGGCTCAGTGGTTGAGTGCCCCTGAGTTCAATCCCGGTACCCAGAAAAAAAAAAAAAAAAAAAAATTCAAAGCCAGTCTCAGCAACTTAGGCCCTAAGCAACTTAACAGGACCCTGTCTAAATAAAAATTAAAAGGGCTGGGGATGGGGCTCAGTGGTTTCGTGCCTCTGGCTTCAATCCCTGGTACCAAAAAATAAAAACAAAAATATTCTAAAATTGTTCTGTGCACATACTAAAAACTATTGAGTTGTACATTTTAGATAGGTAAATTTGTTTCTCAATAAAGGAATATTTTAAGCACCTCAGGCTTAATTACTAAAAGAAAAGAGGGAGGGGGAAAAAAAACTGATCTCAAGGCTTTAACAGTCTGGTGGGGGAGAAAAGTGAGGCAAAGTATTTACAAAACAATGAGAAAAGGAAAGAGGCACCTAACCTACCTATGGAAGGTGTTCAGAAAATAACTCAGTTTACCCGATCTTCATCCCTAAATTGAAATTTAAATCGAAGAAACTTCTGAAAAGATGAAGTACCTGTTAAACTCCTAAAAATCTTCATTCTTACAGAATAATTGGTGGACTTTTTTTTTTTAAGGGTTTGTGCGCTGCGATACCTCAAATGTTTTTATTTTCTTGGAGCTAGGGATTGAACCCAGGGTCTCACGCATGCCAAGCAAGCGCTCTACCACTGATTTACACTCCTAATGCCATAAAACGTTTATTTTAAACTTTAAAAAAGCAAGGGATTAAAGTGCACTGACAAAACAAAACAAGCACCTGATCAGTGTAAGGCACTGGGTTTGATATTTGGCACCATATTAAAAATAAATAAATAAATAAGGGCATTGTGCTCATCTACAACTACAAATTATTTTTAATTTTTTTGTTTTATTACCAAGGTTGTGAGGTGCTGTAAAGATTAGGTGCAATCTTTTCATAACACTAAAATTGGTCTAAACCAAAAAATGTGTTATACATTCCAAAACAAAGCTGGGGAGAGGGACTGCGAGGGAACTAGCAAAGTAGGCAAATTTGAGTGGTTGGTCTCAAAGAACTGAGTGCTACATAGTAAAACTGAACCTTTAAAAATTAAAGTCACTCATTTTCAACCACAACACTTCGAAATTAGAATCTTAACCGTTGCCATAGAAACGGTGAAGCCAAGTTTAAAAAAACTCTAATGGGTGAAATAGGGCGAAGTTTGGGGCGAACCTACGGGTACTGAACCTATCAAATGCTTTCACCCGGACAAGGGTGAGCCCACTGCGACTCTAACCTTATACCTCCGAAGCAATGCTACATAAATGACCTCGCATTGGTAATTTACCAAGTGCAAAAAAAAGTTTGCTCTGTTTTCTCCGGAAGGGAGAACCTGACAAAACCCCCTAGTTGTTGCCCACAACCAAAGCCAGCCAGTGCAATCTTAACAGGACACAGCTAAGGGGGGAGCCTGGCTCCGAGTACACGAGGAAAGAAAGCATCGGAGTGGAGCCCTGCTGGTTTCAATGGCTGAGGGAGCATGAAGAAACACCCCAAGTTCCAGCCTGGAGACCCAGCCTGCCTGCCTTCTGGCTGTACATCCTAGCCCCACAACACGTCCTGTACCTGGAAGTCCACGAGCCCCGATCCAACTCGCATTGATTAAGCACCCACTGTCTACCCCACATCGTGGCTCTTACAGGCACTGCAGGAAGAAATGGCCCCGTGCCGAAGAATAAAAACCAAAAGGACAGCTGCGGTGACTGAGAACGAACCCGAATGAGGAACTGGCTGCCTGCGACGGGTGGTCTAGACAAGAGCCCCCACTCTCATTCCGCGGGGTCGTGACAGTCTCCGGGAAGGGAGGGCCCAGAGGAGCGCACCAGGCCGGGCCTTCCTGGAGTCCGCCGCAGACCCGGCTGGGAAGGTAAAGGACTCGGTACCCCCAGAACACCGCGCGTTCCTCTGTCCTAAAGAGCACGACCCCGACTCCAGCTCCCGGGAGAATGGCGAGCACGGGGACCGAACCCTGTAAGGGCCGGATCGGACTGTCACTGGCCCCCGCCTCCCTCCCCTGCGACCATGGCCGTCCGCTCCCTCCCCAGCATGACAGTCGCCGCGGTCGCAGACTGAGCGTCTCTGCCCCGGTGCCTCAGCTCCTCTGGACGCCCACACCCCTCGCTGCCCCGCGTGGAGAGGGGCAGTGCCGGGAAGATCGCCCGGGCCCCTCCCCCCGCCGACCCCATCTCCCTGACTCCGGAAAAGCGGTTACCTGGCGCGCGGGTGGGGCGAGGACACCACCTGAAGAAAAAGGATGAGAAGGAAGACTGTGGCCTCCCGCCCGGGGAGATTTGGGAAATTTGGAAGACTTGTTCCGCACTGGGTGACAGCTGTTCGCTGCGCACGCGCACAGGGCCTCAGAAGCCTGATCACTCCGCCGCTCCTCACCCTCCCGTCGAGGGGGTGGGTGGGAGACAGCGGCGACGGCGCGCGCACAGCGCAGACCGGCTCTCCCTGCGTGTGAGCGCGCGCGCCGTCACGTGACTGCTGGGGGGTCCGGCACTTAGTCACGTGAACTTCCAAACAGCTTAAAGGTGCCCGGCACCTTCTAGCTTTGGGCTGTCTTTTGCACTATGTTCTACGAGGTTCTCTGTGGCCCATCTTCTTGTTCTCTGGAGACAGGCATGCCTCCTTCTTCCCAGAGGGGTAAGATACTTGAACCGAAGGAGGGGAACAGGTGCACAGAACCTTGCCCGGAAGCGCGTACCGTGTTCCCACAGGACTAATGTGGGACCTGATGTAGTCCACGCGCCACACGTCCTCCTGGGCTCCGACACTGGCCTATGACGGCCTCCGGCGCGCGGACGTCAGAGTGGCGTTGCCATGGGTGGGGCCTAGGAATGCCCAGCCTAGCCTGGCAAGGAAGTCTGGGCGTGCGATGACAGCGTTTTGAATCCGTTCTCCCTTCACGAATTTTGAGGGCCTTTCACCTTTCTTACTACAGTGGGAGATATCTAATACAACAACAGTTCCCACGTGTCCCAACCCCTTAACAAGCAACTCTCAAGTAAAACCTAGTTAACCTCCGGATGCAAAATTGTTCCGTATTCAAGTCACGTATGCATAGCAAGTCCCGCCCCAAGCAGGTGTGCGATTACAGTGGGGAGACCTGAAAGTGGCTGCCATAGAAATCATGGACTGGGAGTAGGCGGGGCGGGGGGGGGGGTCCCTCGGGAACTTGAGACCTCAATTGGAGTATCTGGAAGCGCAGGTGCCTATGGGCCCTTGAGAACTTAGATCTAAGTTTACTTGCTACTAAGGTTTATTGATTCTGCTGTGTAACTCCGCCCTCTAAGGTGTAGGAAAGAACACACAGACCTTAAGCCCTCGTACTGCCAAAGACAGATGGCTGAGCACCAGATGTTTTGCAAAGCTGTACCAATTTTTTTTTTAAACTTCCCTGCAGAGTCCCCAGCTGAGCCCGGTGGCATTTCCCCTAATGTCTTCTAAGCAAAGAAGGACTGAGCAGATCTTTACACCAGTAAGCAAACCTGGGCTATCTAAGAGGCTGAGCTTTCTGTTAGAATACACTAATTTCCTCATATATATATATATATATATATATCTTTACAGATACATTTGCCACAACCTTGTGAAAATATATGGAATATAATATAAGCTAAAACTAATGCGATTATTGAGCCACAATATTCCTGTAATTGTTGAATTAAAAACACTTTAGATCCGCTAACCCACACACTTCTAAACTTGCCTAACATATAAACCCAATTGGTAATTTTCCAACTGTTTATGTTGTGAAGATTCCCAACCCTCCTTACAAGCCAATAGGATATGCCAGAACCATAAATATGTAACTGAATATTTATTTGGGGGCATACTGTGAGATAGACACTTAAGAATTTCACATATATTCATCAAATACTTAAAATAATACAATGAATGGGTAATATTATCTCTTTTTGTTTTGTTTTGGTATTGGGAATTGAACCCAGGGATGCTCTACCACTGAGCTGTAGTTCCAGTTCTTTTTATTTTAAGATAGGATCTCTCTAAGTTACTGAGACTGGCCTCAAACTTGCAATCCTCCTGTTTCAGACTCCCAAGTCTTGGGAATTACAGGCATACCCCACCATGCCTGGTGAGTATAGTTTTTGTTTTTTAACATGAAGGACTAGGATGATATACAAGCATTGCTGGCTTCACTGAGCATTACTGATAATCAGAGAAGGTAATATAAAATGTCAAAATCTTAAAAGTTATAAAGCACTGTGTGAGTTTTTTAAGGTTCAGACTCTTGACAATTGAAATGAGCCTATTAGAAAATTAATTGGATACATGGCACAGAGGATAATGTTTTGTAACTAAATAATTTCATATTGAGAATTACAATGAAAAGTTAACCTTTTAGGGGCTGGGATGTGGCTCAAGCTGTATCTCGCTCGCCTGGCGTGCATGCGGCCCGGGTTCGATCCTCAGCACCACATACAAACAAAGATGTTGTGTCTGCCGAAAACTAATAAGTATTAAAAAATTAAAAAAAAAAAAGTTAACCTTTTAGCCACATCCATTTTTTGCTGGGGCAGTGGGAGGATTGGATGCGAGGACTGAACCCAGGGGCACTCATCACTGAGCCACATCCCCAGCCCTATTTTGTATTTTATTTAGAGACAGGTTCTTACTGAGTTGCTAAGTGCCTTGATTTTGCTGAGGCTGGCTTTGAATTCATGACCCTCCTCCTACCTCAGCTTTCTGAACTGCTGAGGATTACAGGTGTGTGCCACCACAGCAAGCTGCCATATCCAATTTTCTAAAACCCAATTTCAATAAGGCAAAGACTGTACCATGGGATATGCAGATTCCCCTTCAGTATATAATGTGGACTATTGTCCAGATCACCTTAAGGACAATACTTGTAAGTTTCTTAAAATGTGAACAGTGCAGCAAATTGATACATTACTATGCAAAAATAGTCTAATTTGAATATGTTGAAGTCCATTACATTTTTACAAATACAAAGAATTAAAGGACTAGGGATGGCCAGGCATGGTGGCGCACACCTATAATCCTAGGGACTCAGGATCCTGAGCCAGGAGGATTGCAAATTCAAGACCAGCCTCAGCAAATTGGCAAAACCCTAAGGACTTAGCAGACCTTGTCTCAAAATAAAAACATTAAAAAAAAAAGCGAGGGGGGGGGGGGCCTGCAGATGTGGCTCAGTGGTTAAGAGACCCTGGGTTCAATTCCTACCCCCATAAGTAAATAAATAACTGACTAGGAATATAGCTTGTTGGTAAAGCATTTATCTAGTGTTATAAGGCCTTGGATTTTATCTCTAATACCTCAAAAAAAAAATTAAATAATAGTGATAATCACTAACTTTTTTGGGGGTGCTAAGAATCCAATCCAGATCCTCACACTAGATAAGCATTTTTTAACAATTATTTTTTAGTTATAGGTTGGCACAATATCTTTATTTTATCCTTACATGGTGCTGAGGATCAAACCCAGTGCCTCACACATGCCTGATGAGCACACTACCTCTGAGCCACAACCCCAGCCCTAGATAAGCATTTTTGTCGCTAAGCTATACCCCTACCCAATATTTTTCTTTATTTTATTGAATATGTATATTGTTTATGCAGGTATAAAACAGACCAATAACTACATGCTTAGATGATTTTAAAAGATCGCAAGTGGGTAGTATGGTAAGTGCCTAACAAAATTAGAAATCTTTGTTCTGGGCTGGGGTATGGCTCAGTAGCAGAGCACTTGCCTAGCATACATAAGGCACTGGGTTTGATTCTCAGCACCACATATAAGTAAAAGGCTTTTTGACAACTAAAAAAAAAAAGAAAGAAATCTTTGTTTCTATTCTTCTCTGTGTCCTGTATTCTGAAGTTTAGATCAATTTTTCACTCACTTGGATTATAATAGTCTCCTAATACAAGGCACAGTAGCACATGCCTATAATCCCAGCAATTTAGAAGGCTTAAACCCGGGGATCACAAGGTTGAGGCCACCCTTAGCAATTTACCCAGGACCTAAGCAACTTAGTGAAACCCTGTCTCAAAATAAAATGTAAACCAGGTGCAATGCCAAATGCCTATAATCCCAGTAAATCAGGAGCTTGAGGCAGGAGGATCATGAGTTCAAAGCCAGCCTCAGCAACAGTGAGGTGCTAAGCAACTCAGTGAGAACCTGTGTCTAAATAAAATATGAAAAGGTCTGGCAATGTGACTCAGTGGCTGAGTGCCCTTGAGTTCATTCCCCGGTACCCAAAAAAAGTAAAGTAAAATAAAAGGTAAAAAGGGCTGAGGATATAGAACTGTGGTAAAGCACTCCCGGTTCTATCCCCAGTACAAAAAAAAAGTCTCCAAATGATTCCCCTACCTCGGATGCATTCTCCACCCACGCCCTCCAACTCATCTTTACTGCAAGCCAAAATCAACCTCCTAAAGTGAATATCAGATCATGACACCACTCAATTAAAACAGTTTATTAATTATGAAAACTTTTCCATCTTATCCACCAAAGGAGTCATAAAGGTCAAAAATACTATGATAGCCAAGGATAGGATAGACTTTGAAGGGATGCAAAATTTTTGTGTAATCTAAAAAATTTAATCAGTTTGAGTAGCATTATACATTTATTTGTTTTAAAATAAGAATACCTGAAATTACCTACTAATTAAATTATTCAACTTTCCCACTAAAATATTTGAATAAAATTAAAGCTTTTAGGAAGATATGTCATGTTTTCCCTAGGGATTCTGGTTCTTCCTGGGCCATTGCCCTAACCTCATATATGTTCTGGAAGAGTGCCAGGGGAACAGGTGAGCTGTTTTATGTTCACATCAAAGAAAATATTGGAAGGGATTTATGACATCTGAATCATAATAAGAAAACAAAGTATTCATGTATATTAACAAATAAAAATAAAACCACATACCAAAGTCTGAGGTTGCAGTCTCTGAGTATTTATAGCTGTCTGTTTCAATCAATTCTCCTTTTTAGTATTATAGGTTATTTATCATTATTATTTACTATTATTATTTGGATTTTTTGTTTTGTTTTATTTTATTGTACTAGGAATTGAATCCAGGAACACTTTACCACTGAGCCACATCCCCAGCCCACCCCAACCCTTTTTATAGGTTTTTGGGGTTTTTTTTTGTTTTGGTACCAGGAATTGAACCCAGGAGTGCTTAACCACTGTACCACATCTGCAGCCATTTTTCTTATATTTTATTTAGAGACAGGGTCTCACTGAGTTGCTTAGGGCCTTGCTAAGCTGCTGAAATTGGCTTTGAACTTTCCATCCTCCTATCTCAGGGTCCCACACCTAGCCCCCCCCCCTTTTTTTTTTTTGGTACCAGGGATTAAACAGGCATTCAACCACTGAGCCACATCCCTAGCCCTATTTAGAGTTGCTTAGTGCCTCACTTTTGCTGAGGCTGGCTTTGAACTCAGGATCTCCACTGGGATTACAGGTGCACACCACCTTGCCTGGCTCCCCAGCAACCCTTTTGTGTGTGTGTGTGTGTGTATGTGTGTGTGTGTTGCTGAGGATTGAACCCAGGGTCTCATGCATGCCAGGCAGGTACTCTACCAACTGAGCTATATCCCCAGCCCCTCAGCCCTTTTTATGTTTTGTTTTGAAACAGGTTTTGCAAAATTGCTTAGGGCCTTGCTAAATTGTTGAGGCTAACCTCAAATTTGTTATCCTTCTGTCTCAGCCTCCCCAGGCCCTGGGATTACAGGTGTACATGGCCCAGTTATTACTGTTTAGTTTTGTTTTGTTTTGTTTTTGTTA